CTGACTGCCACTACCTCAACGCCAGAGTGTTGGCCAGTTTTGGGTACACTAGCCAAGCTGAGTTTTGCTGAGTCAAACTGAGTTTTTGTCAGCCTGAGTTTTAAAATTGTTTTGTCTTTTGCCTCTTGGCAGGAAGTCATCCTGCAAACTGGATTTTTCGGACCTTCTCTCTCTGGAAGGATCAACTGAGCTTCAAACTGAGCTGGGGTTCAAACAGGAGGTTTGGATCCACTTTCCCCAAGAGATCGTTTGAGCTTCACACTGAGAAAAGGATTCATCTCCACTACGACCCGTTCAAGTACCGCAGGAAATCTGAGTGGCAGTCAGTTTTCTCCGTTCACCTACATACAACTGCATTCTGGGTAAACTCTGTTCCACCCTCCACCGAATCAGACAAACACTGGAACTACAGCATACAGACTGGAGTCAACTTCTCTGGAAACATGAGTCAGCAACCCAATCCTCTTCTCCAAGTTCACGAGTCAAATTTCCACCTGAGCCTGAACTAACCGCTGTGTCTTCCCCTCACTTTTCAGTTCCGGTTGAATAGTGTTCAGAGCAACACTTCTCTCTGTATTATTTCTTCAATAAAACCTGTTAAACCTTTTCCCTGGTCTCCCTGTTTGGTCTTCTGCATTTGGGTTTGAACTTTCGCAAAATCATGACATTCAAGACATCCGTAGCAAAGTGGTGTTTCAGACCTGGGCGATGGTCTCCATCAGATTCTTGTCTGAGGCTTTTTTCGTCCCAAATGACTGGATGTTGAAGGCCCCCAGCAGGAAGGAGGAGGACAGATGTAGCAGGCCCACAAAGAACACCACAGAATACAGCAGTCGCATTCTGAGCCACAAAGGATAGATCTAAATGTGGAAGGTGGAAATAAGATGTTTATAAAACCAAGTCACCATTCATTTAATGCTAAAAAATCAAATTATAAACATTTCTGATCAGCTTATATAATTTAGGTTAAACTTGTGGAATATTGATCTAGTCAGCAGCAATTGTTTACTGTAGGTGAGAGGGTGCTACTGCTGCTGTTAACACGTTCACTTCCTGTTTTAACTGCTGAGCCGTTCTGGTGCTGTTCAGGCTATCTCCGTCTGAATTAAGTTTTTTTTTTCTGTGATATTTCTGTGAGCATCTACTGTCAATGCAATCAGCTGGATTGCCTTAGATGGAAAACTTTGAATCAATTGTAAATTGCCTTAAGATGACATGTGTTGTGAAATGGAACTGTATAAATAAACTGAATTAAAATTAAAAAAAGTAAAATTGTTATTCGCTCGGGCAGTAATTACACACGCTTACGGCGAATGGAGGTCACTAAAACGAGTGTTGCTTCTGTGTGTAAGTTCGCCAAAAAAATGTGGGACTCCGTAATTTTCTCTGGTCCCCTCCCTGATCTGACCAGTGATGACATGTTTAGCTACATGTCTCAATCAACCGCTGGTTGTCTAGGCAATGTCCTGAAAACAACGTGGGCTACTTTAATAATTAGAAATCCTTTTGGGGAGAACCTGGTCTGATTGGGAGAGACGGCCTCCATCCCACTTTGGATGGTGCAGCTTTTCTTTCTGGGAATCGGGCCAAATTTATTTGTCCTCCTGTTTCTCCCCATTAACTGACAAGAATAAGAATAATCCTCTATATCTTTTTATTACAGTTGCCAAATATAAATAATATTGATTCTGTTAAAGATAAGATCATTAGCACTCCTCTAAATATTATTGATTTAACTCTGACAGTTGAGGCAACATCTGAGGTAACTATAGAATCTGAACTGGGTTTAAACTGCTTTGATCCAGTTGAACTTTGAGAGTTAGCAAAACCATTCTCTTCATCTAAGCCTTTACTTTGCATGCTTAAGAAACCGTATCTTGGCCCAGATGATCTGGTCAATTGTAGACCTATTCTCACTTTTCCTTTCTTATCTAAAATTATTGAGGGAGTAGTTGCCAAACAAGTGTGCGACCACTTACACCATAATGAACTTTTTGAAGAGAGAAGCACAGGGATCAGTGCTAGGGCCAATTTTCTTTACTATATATATGCTTCCAATCAGTAGAATTATTAGAAACCATGGGAATGATTTAATCTGTTATGCTGATGATACTCAGCTATATCTGTCTATGAATCCAAATGAAACCAAACCATTACGTAGAAAACAGGCATAAAAAACATGCATCACTCTTAACTTTCTCCTTCTGAATGCAAATTTACCCTCAAAATGCAGGTTTAAAAGTGGTTTCTAGAATTTCTAGAAGTAGGATAGGAGGCAGGTGAAAATAAGGTTCAGTATTTTGTGTGGCCTCCACATGCCTGTATGACCTCCCTACAACGCCTGGCCATGTTCCTGTGACATTTTCAGTATGGATTTATTTAACAGCAGCAATAGATCTAAAGGGGCTCACTTTTTCTTCTTTAAACAATTAAACATTATTTAATGGTTTGTCCATCACTGATAATTTGGCTCCTCCATAAAACAGGAAAGGTCCATGATCCAGTAGATCATCATTGTTGACTTTCACTCCATTCAGCACCTGTAGAATCTAGAAAGTGCATCTAGCATCTCTGCAGATCCCACACTTTATGGACACACACTGTTTAGACTTTTACCTTCAAGCTGACGTTGAACAGCTCTCCCCCAACTGTCAATTTAATAAACACTGAGATCAGTGCCATCCTTATTTGCATCAAATCAATGTTTCCTCTTTTTTTTTTTTTTTTAGAAAAGTGTATTTACTGAGTTTCTGAAAAAATATCCCTCCTCTTTTTTGTATATTGTACTTAAAGTGACTTTATTAAGAGCAAAGTGGAACCAAATTCTGAGTAATACGCACCAATACCTGTACCAATACCTCACACAGATTCTGGTTATTTTGATGCCTTTACCAAATTTTTACCAATGGTACAATTAATGTATAGAACCCAGCTCTACCCGGTTGTGTTACAGCCAATAAAAAGAGATCATGCTAAAATGATGTGACCAACATTTAGCTGCTAATCCTGCTCATCATTCACAACACATTATTCTAATTTTTTGTATCTTAAAAACAGTAAAATTGGAACATTTTATGTAATACTCAGATTTTTTGTTATGTTAGAAGAAGGCCAGGTAAAATTAGACCAGACACAAAGGGCTGCAGATAAGCTCACAAAGTAAAAAAGCAAAACACCAGTCAATATTTAAAAAGGAAAGAAAAAAAAAAGTGAATTACATCTATGTTTAATTTGCTTTTAGTATTGATAAAGTATTTTGAATTGAAATGAACTGAAGTGCATACCTGATCAGCAAAGAAAAGAGGAAAACCTGTGAACACAAAGCCTTGCAGTCCCAAGAGCTATGACATAAATGTGGAGTCGATCCAGTGATAACCCGTTTTAAGGCTCTGTGTTGTAATGGAAAACTTTAAACCTGCCTTGTGCATCAAAGTCTCAGAAGCGTTCACACTGCTTCTCTACAAGTGTCTATTTATTTTTTGGCAGAACTTCTAACAACTCATGAAAAAGCCACAAGCTTGTACACCACATCTTGAACTTCTCGTTCCTTTTTTTTTTTTTTATAGTTTGATGATAACACGCTTCCCCTTTTTCAGCTCTATTCATTTTCTGTCATGCTTTCCTGTTGTTTGGGGCAGTATTGCACATTTAATCCTGATGCATGAGCTCATTAAACTGTCTGAGTATACTTATCTATTTCCAGATTATTTATTTCCAGTGGTGTTACGTAAAAACATACAAATACTTTGTTACCTTTTGGATAGATTTTGGCTATATATACTTTAAATGAATCATTCTTTTTTAGACAACGTTTTACTTCTACTCTTTACATTTTTTAGCAACTATCTCTACTTTTTAAGAAAGCGTATTGCTGTCACTTGAGAAAATACATTTTTGCAAATTATATTGTATAAACATTATAATTAAAATGTATAAACGTGATAATTATATTGTATAAGCGTGATAGTATTTTGTATAAACGTGATAGTTATATTGCATAAACGTGATAAGTATATTGTGTAAACGTGATAACTTATGCTTTTAGTCATTGCAAAGCTGAAGTTGGCTTCCAATTGCAGCTTCTGGTTCAGGAAATGAGTAAAGGGCGATTCAACTTTAATTTTCCCTACCTTCAGCATCTTTAATCTATTTTAATTAAAAAACTACAACACTTAGACACATCTAACCTGGACTAGATCATTCTAAACTACTTGTAGAATAATTAAAACCAGGCCTGGGGTTTGTGAAACCTTTCTCTCAGTTGTGAAACTTTAATAAAAACAGTTTTTAACACTTGTGCAAATTATGGTTTCTGTTGATAGATCTACAAGTTGTGAGAAACGATTTTCAGAAACATTTATTTTATATAAATGTTAATTATTTTTATAAATAGTAGTAGTTGTAGTATATATATAATATTAGTATATTATTGTTATTGTATCAATATTATTAAAGTAAAATATTCCATTTAAAAGAACAGGACATAATGGTATTGCTGGTAGTGAGTAAGAAGGGATTGTTTCTTTAATAAAATATCTAATAATGATTTTAAGCAGTACTAGTTGCAGCAGTATAATAATCTTATTTTTATCAATCTTATACAGCATTCAAACTGCAAGAAAAGGACAAACCTATAAGATCCACTGTGTGTAAGAAATGATTAACAGAAAACATTTATAATAATTTAAGCAGTATTAGGTTTGGGGTAATATGCTTCTCTGTCTTGTTCTTATTGCATCAAATTGTATTAATATACTTGATAATTGTATTTGTATCAGTTTTAAAGCTATATTTAATAGATTTGGAGCACTTTGTTACAGTTTGCATGAACTGATGCATGTCCCAAGCAGGATTCGAACCAGCAATTTTCTCCTTTTTCTTTTTTGTCTTCTTCTTTCCTTCCTCTTCCTCCCACTTCTCCAGACTATTGTTCTCCAGCATTGTCCGTGGGGCAAAGACGACAACTATTGTCCAAGTTTTTGTGTTGTTCAAATTCCAACCATCTGCTTTATTGATAGAAGAAGCAAGTTTCATGTTTCCACAAACCAACTGACTAATTGGCGTAACAGAAATATTTCAAACATGGTGGAACAACATTGTAAATTTTTTTTTAATCTCAACTGATTTATTTTTTATAAATCAAGAAATAATTTGATAAATGGATATAATTTTCTGAGTATATTAAACACTTGTTGTAACAGTAACATCTTACTCCTCAAATAACTGTAAGCAAAAGTCTGATTACTTCAGCTATGCATATCCACCACACATACGAGTAATGGATTGTTATGTCGTGCAAAATCTTAAAGAAATATTGTTTTAGAGTAAGATAAGATAGGATAGACTTTAATAATCTCACAGTGGAGAAATTCACTCCTCACATCGGCTTAATAGTAATAGGGTATTTAGGATCAATTTCGAAATGTTGACAGTCTGAATAAAATGATTGCAGGTGCTGATTAATTAAGCTGTATGGTAAAGTGACATTCTAAATAAACCTGTATGTCTGAGTTTAAACCATGTTTGTCATGTATGATTTGTATATCTCATGATCATAAGTATTCAGACCCTTTGCTCAGCATTGAGAGGAAAAATCCCTCTGAGATAGTACAGTCATGTTTCTTCTTGGAAATGATGCAACAAGTTTTTTACCCCTGGATTCAGGGATCCTCTGCAGCTCTGTCAGGTTGGATGGTGAGCATTGGTGGACAGCCATTTTAAGATCTCTCCTGAGATGCTCGATTGAGTTTAGGTCAGGGCTCTGGTTGGCAGAGATGGCAAAAGTACTCACTTTCCGTACTTGAGTAAAAGTACAGATACTTGTGTTAAAAAATACTCTGGTAAAAGTGGAAGTACTGATTAAGCTTCTTTACTCAAGTAAAAGTAACAAAGTGCAGGCTTGTAAATTTACTTAAAGTATAAAAGTAAAAGTAGAAACCACTTTTTTCATGCCGTTGCCTACATTTTAAATGGATGTCTGCCAATAGGACTAGATCTCCGTTGTGTTCATTTTCAATCATCTCGTCGTCCATGCTACTATGCTAACGCCACCGCCACCAAGCTGCAATGATTTGCCGCCAATGAATACCGCCGAATCTGTCGATTCATCTTGTAGTGGTGCGTCAAATGCAACGTAGATTCCCATCCAATTAGATTGAATTTGGTATTGATGACGTGAAAAATAATAACGGTAACTCCATTGAAATGATTCAAAACTAAAGTAACGAGCCAATTTTTAAAAATGTAAGGAGTAGAAAGTACAGATATTTGTGTAAAAATGTAAGGAGTAGAAGTAAAAAGTCGTCGCCATAAAAATAAGTAGTAAAGTAAAGTAAAAATATCAGAAAAATCTACTTGAGTACCGTAACGAAGTATTTGTACTTCGTTACTTCCCATCTCTGCTGGTTGGACAAGTCAACAGTGGTCACAGAGTTGTTCCCAAGTCACTCCTTTGTTATTTTAGCAGTGTGCTTAGGGTTAGGGTTCACGTTCTTGTTGAAAAGTAAACCTTCGGTCCAGTCTGAGGTCTTGAGCGCTCTGGAAGAGGTTTTCTTCTGGGATTTCTCTGTACTTGGCCGCATCCATCTGTCCTGCAATTGCAACCAGTCTCTGCAGCGTAAAAAAAAAAACATAGCATGATGCTGCCATCAAAATGTTTGATGTTGGGATTGTATAGGGCAGGTGAGCAATGCCTGGTTTTCTCCACACATACTGCTCAGAATTAACACTAAAAAGGTCAATCTTGGTCTCATTGGACCAGGGAATCTGCTTTCTCAGAGTCTGAGAGTCTTTCATGTGGTTTTTGGTAAACTCTATCAGGCTTTCATATGTCTTACACAGAGGAGAGGCTTCCGTTGGGCCACTCTGCCATAAAGCCCTGACCTGTTGAGGGCTGCAGTGATCATTGACTTTGTAGAACTTTCTCCCATCTCCCTAATGCATCTCTGTAGCTCAGTCACAGTGATCTTTGGGTTCTTCTTTACCTTGCTCACCAAAGCTGTTTTCCCACAGTTGCTTAGTTGCACTGGACAGAGAGGTCTAGGAAGAGTTCTGGTCATCCCACACTTCTTCCATTTAAGGATTGTGGAGGCCACTGTGCTCTCAGGACCTTGAGTGCTGCAGAAATTATTTAGTAACCTTGGCCAGATCTGTGCCTTGCCACAATTTTGTGTCTGAGCTCCTTGGGCAGTTCCTTCAACCTCATGATTCTCATTTGCTCTGAGATACACTGTGAGCAGTAAAGTCTTCTTCTTCTTCTTCTTGTAAGGTTTTATGGCGGTTGGCAAACTAGTTAAAAGTACATTGCCGCCAACTGATAAGGAGTTAATCAAGGAAACAGGAAACGGGTCACCCCCAGAAATAAATAAAATTAAAAAAATAATATTTTTCCAAACTGTTTAACTGAACCCAACATAATAAATAATCACATTTGCCCTCATAATTTCTAATTTATCTTTAAGTTATCGTCACTCTGCCAGCTTCTGATGGCCCAACTGGTTTTCCCATCATGCTTTCCACCATTTTCTAGTTTAAATCTTTAACTTCAAGATACTTTTCTGCAGCTTTCACTATGATTTAGATTTTTTCGGTTTTTCTTGTCGTCTGTGCACTACAATTGATCACTTCAACCATGAAAAGAACAAAATCTTTTTTTTGTTTTACAATCAATTACTCTTCATTTTGGGACATTGCTCCAGAGGTTTTAAATTTGCCATGTGCTGAACTGTTGGTTTGGGTTTTTCTGACTGGGATTGGATCCTTTTTGTAGCTTCAGCATGAGTTATTCCGAGCTCAAATTTAAATGTTTTTATTTCTTCAGACCTTTTACTCACTTCACAACCTTGATATGCAGCAGTATGTTCTCCACCACATTTACAGCATTTGATTTTAGCTTCTTTCCCACATTGTCCGCATTCATGCTCTCCAGCACACCTTCCACATCGCTGTTTTCCTTTAAAAACTGCTGCTATGTGTCCGAATTTTTGGCATTTGAATCATCTCAGAGGCGGAGAATTGTACACTTTGACATTCTAGTTCTTGTAACCAATGAACACTTTGCTGGCTAACTGCTCTTCTTCAAATTGAATCAACACAAATAAGCTGTCACATATACACTTATATTTTCTAGAATCTCTTCTTCAGATACTTTTAGAGGAACTCTTCCAGTGACCCCTGCTAATTTTTTGTTCTCCACCAAGCTGCACTAAACTCTTTTCTCCTCAATTTTGTTAATTTGTATGGCTTTGCCTTCCTGAGCGCCGTCTCTGCAGGTCATAGGTCTCCACTATACAGTATTCTGGCACTTCGGACTTCTCCTACAAGTTTATTTATCGATTTTGTTAACTGAACCGGAATCCAGTCTGTATAAGAGTCTGCCTGATTAACTGGTTTGAATGACTTTGTACTCATTATGTTTTCCTGTGGAATGTATTGTTCATCACTGGACTGTTCTGAA